AAACACTCCCACTCCATCAAAGCCTTACTCTAAAAATTTACCCCCACCGTACCAAGTACAATTTGCACCATGATGGAAATTGTATGGTATGCATCATCTATAACTTAAGAGGTCGCACCTCTAAGTACTATAGAAAAGCCACGAATGACATGATCTTAACCACTGTTGTAGGAGGAAGCCGAAGTTAATTTAAATGAAATCAACCAATGCATTTCAAGGACTCCCCTAAACAGAAGAACCAGGGCGGCATAAGAACAACATTTATGATAGGTGGTAGAGATGCTCTCTAGGAACCAGTTGTGGTTACTAGTATGTTTAATATCAACAATATTTATGCTTCCGTATTTTCTAGTACTCTTACCGAAAGAAGCTTTATTTCCCATAGGTTTGGAAGCATGATTAACCATAAATCATGCAAACTTAATGAAGATTACATGGTAAACATAGCAAACAACCAGTTAGGAAACACCTTAGAAATACTCACTAATTGCCATCTAAATCTAAATAACCACGTTTTTCACGTCAACTTGATACATATGACCATGGAATTTTCAATATGATCATCGGAATGGATTAGTTTTTGTTTCATCTAGCATAAATCTTATGTTACAAAAAAGTCATCCGACTACCTTTACCGAATAGTGAAACCCTCTTAATTTGCAAATGAAAATCAGGAAAGAGTCTAAGAATCATCACTTTCATAAAGGCAAGGAAGCATTACAGGAGAGATGCTTCACTTTCTTGGCCCACGTGATGTATAGTCAAGACAAGGGTAAGGAAATCAAAGACATACCGAAAGTGTGCTACTACTCAAGCATATATGTAGAGGATCTACCTAGAGTAACTCCATTCAGACGTGTCGAATTCCAAATCAACCTAATCCCAAGTACAATACCAATGGCATGATCTCCTTATTGTCTAGCTCCACTAGAAATGCAATAGCTATCCAATCAACAGTAAGAACTTCTTGACAAAAGATTTATCCAACCAAGCTTCTCTCCATGAGGAGCTCCGGTATGGTTGCCAAATAAAAGGATGGATCCTTCAAGATGTGCATCGACTATCAAGAGTTGAACAAACTCGCCATCAAGAACCAATATCCACTCCAGAGGATCGATGACCCATTCAACCAACTACAAGGATCCTGTTACAATCAAAGATAGATCTAAGATTCGGTTGTCATCAACTTAGAGTTCAAGAAGCAGACATTCCAAATACTTTTTAGTATTCTACAATTCCTCTCACAAAGGGTTGGGATATGTGCTGATGAAAAGGAATAAATTGATTGCATATGCATCTAGACAACTCAAGCCAAACAAGACCAACTACACTACCCATAACTTAGATTTGGGAGTTGTATTGTTTGCCTTAAAGATTTGGGGGTTACTACCTTTACGAAATGAAGTGTGTTGTGTCCACCAACCACTAAATCCCTAAACACATCTTCAATCGGAAGCAAGTCAACATGAGACAACGAAGGTGAATCGAATTGCTAAATAACTATGAATCAGAAACTGGTTATCATCCTGGTTAAGCAAATGTCTTACCAGATGCTTTAAGCACGAAAGAACAAGCAATGACATTTCGTGTAAAAGCCTTAACCCTAACCATCCACTCCAATCTTACCACCCAAATTCAAGATGCTCAGCTAGAAGCACTCAAACCCAATAATATCGTAGAAGAAAACCTGCAAGGTATGGACAAACAGTTTGACCTCAAGGAAGAAGGAACACAATATTCCATGAACCGAATTTAGAACCTAAAGTTTAGTAGAGTCAGGAGTCTAGTCTTAAATCAAGCTCATAAATTGAGATATCTCAATGCATCTCAGATCAGAAAAGATGTATCTTGATCTCAAGAAGCTTTATTGGTGGTTCATCAGGAGGGAAAACATTGCCATCCTTATCAGTAAATGCTTGACTTGCTCCAATGTTAAAGCAGGGTACCAAAACTCACCGGATCTACTACAACAACTGTCAAGTCGAAAATAGAAACATGATACTCACTAACCACTAGTCGAGTTTCCATACAAAAATAGTTATCAGACTAACATAAAGATCGCTCCACTCGAGGCCTTATACGGACACAAATGTTGTTCTCCAATATGTTGGGCAGAATTCGGAGATATCTAGTTAGCCCAGTGACATGTTGTAGATACTCTACTCACTAGACCTAAGATAATACATGAAACAACACAAAAGATCATTTAAGTAAAGGAATGATTAAAAGACTGCATGTGATCATCAGAAAAACGATGCCAATGTCATACATAAACCTTTAGAATTCAAAGTAACAGACCATGTCCTACTAAAGGTTGAAATGTGGAAAGGAATCATTAGATTTTGAAAGCAAGGTAAACTAAACCTCCGATAAATCAGAACATTTGAAATCCTGGCAAGGGTTGGTCCGATGACTTACACACTTAATTCACCTCAAAAAAAACTACATAAAGTTCACGATACCGTCCACGTGTAAAATATTAAGAAGTGTCTCACTAATGAGAACCTTATCTTTCCACTCGATGAGATCCAGGTCAACAGTAAACTTTACTTCATGAAGGAACCTATAAAGATCATGGATTCAGAAATAAAAAACCATAAACAAAGTTGCATAACTATGGTTTACATCTGATGAAAATCTCAAATAGAGATGGAGTTTACTTGGGAACGTGAGAATCAAATTGTGATAACCCGAAAACCCTATCTTGTAAATCAATAAAATTATTCAAGTGTTTGGACTTGTTTCTGTTATCTTTTTACAGAGTTAAGGGTCATTTTATGAGTTCTAGGCCTAGTACCCTTAAGGGATTGTGTGTAGGGAAGTGTTCGCAAGAGATTAGTAGACAGCATTCGATCCGAAAACACCTTCAAAAGAGGTTCATGGCCACAAACTAGGTTCACGTCCATGAACCCATCTCTGGCTATGAGATACCCCTCCCCATATATATGGGTGTTATCCATTTTTGTCTTCATTTCTCATCTTCCATTCGTGAATTCTCCCCTTCTCCCTCAAGTATCATCCACAAAAGGGTATCCTTTCATCTAAAAAATGTAAGTATCATACCCTTTTCTTGTTATTCCTTGGAAACCATGTGCTTTCATCTTTTGATCCTTCACTTTTCATCAAAGTCTTCAAGATCTTCAAGAAGTTATGGTCGTGAACCCTTCATATTGGTCGTGAAACCTTCAAAGATTCATCATTTGGTTCGTGAACACTTCAAGTGTTCTTGGACTGTGAACCCTTCAAAGGGCCATGAACTCCTCTTGTGTGGCCGTGATCATCTTTTAGCCCTTCATTTTAAGTTCTAACACATCCTTGTATGTGTTTCCTAGTTACTAAGGTTGTTTCCTTTACATATTAGTTGTTATAGGCCCTAATTTCATAATTACATCCATATATATATATATATATATATATATATATATATATATATATATATGTGTGTGTGTGTGTGTGTGTTAAAATATGCTTAATAGGATCCATTTGTGCTTGGGACTTCACTTAACATGCCAAGCATCTTATATCAATCTTTCATCCAATTTACCCATACAAAGGTGAGTTCATACCCCTACAATTCCACTTTTAAATGATTTTAGGGGGAAATATAAGTAGAACACACTACTAGAAAACAGACCTTTAATGACGCGCTTTTTATGACGCGCACTGATTAATGATACGCAAAAGGACGTGCCCTTAAAATAGTGTTATCTGTCCAAAAAATTTAAGGATTTATGTCACGCATTATTGCGTGCCCTTAATTTAGTGTCTCAAGAAAAAAAATAAAAACACGGAGGGCACTTTATCTTAAACGCGCGTCGTCTGTACCTGTCGCTTTATAATTTTAATGAAACGTGCATTTAGTAGACGAGGGGGGAAACGAAATCCCCAAAATTTTGAAAACCCGCCTCGTTTTTCCTATCTTCTATCTATCTTTCATCCTTGCAATCCACTCTCCCCTCTCTGATACTCTCTCCTTTAGATCTCCCTTCATTCTCTACCTCCCGTCTCTCTGTAAACCCTAAGCCATCGCCACCTCCCTTCTCTCTAGCATGTGTTAGGGTTTTATTTTCTTTCAAGCTTCCGCTTCTCTCGTTTTCTCTCAACCCAGTACGTGCGAGGGTTCGGAATAAATGAGCGAATTCAAACAATCAATCTTCCATTTCAACTCCTTTCAACTCTGGATCATCGGGTATTTTTCAGATTCCTTTTCCGGTTTTGTTAACTTTTGAAATTGGAATGGGACCCGTTCTTTTCTACTTCAATACTCTCGATCTCAAACGGCTTTTCTTTTTCTACTTCATCTTCTTCTACTTCTTCTAACAATGGTGGTTCCTGCTCAGGGGTAACCTCGGCAATATGCAATTTAAAAACCCCAAATAAGTTGAATTTTTAGGTATAGGGTTCTTTATCTGGAAGCACAAGGCCATCTGCAATCGATTCAGCTAATCTGAGCTCACAGGTATAGGGTTCTCTATCAATCATCTATCTTTTTCTCCCTTTACATTAATGACTTGAAATTCCACATTTACTAAATTACACGTTAGTTTTTTTACAGCGAGTGCAACCTTCTCCATTCCTAATGATGTATTTCATCTCCTTAAAATTGAAGTTGCAGGTTTGTGTCTTCTACATGTTGTCTTTGCATGATCTATGAATAGTTTGCCATTGTATTTCATCTTCATCTTCTTTATCATTGCATCATGTCTACTCTGCTTCCAATCCTTATTCTCTTTGATTGGCTAGGGTTACGAGCTCTTGAACTATGGAATTTGGGGTTACCTAATTTTAGCAAAATGTTTTGATATTTTTTATTTTTTATGTAAGGTAAATGGTAACATCATAGGTAGCTTCAAAATTTCGATTGAGAAATATAGAAATTGAAGAGGAGTGATGGTTGCATCTTATTGAAATTCATTTGCAACTAAGGTATTAGTGGAAGATGAATCGATGGATTACTGAAAAGGTTTCTCTACTTGGAAACAAGACAAAATAATAGGAATATGTTACTGCCTTGGGTTTATCTTGGTATCTTAGTAAGTCTGTGGGCTTATGCTTGTGGTGTTGATTTCTGCGAGTATCTTGTTGCAGGGGCGGTAATGGTCAGTTTTTTCTGTTGCTAGTTTTGCCATTTTTAAGCATATTCCTTCCAGATTCTGCTTGGTGGGTGGGGGTTTAATTCTTTTGTTTTCTTTTTGTTTATCCTTGTATTGTCTCTGTATTGCCTTTCACTCTGAGCTCATGGCTAGGGGTATGTTTTTTTAATGAAATTGTTCCCATGTTGCTCAAAAGAAAGTTTGTTTATGCGTCTTACAGTGTTAAAAATTTAGTCTTTGCAAATGAGTTTTAAGCAATGAACATTTTCAAACTCATGTGCATCTCTTTCTCGTGTCATCTACGTGTATATGAGTAGGGTAACTCCATTTTTTCTTTTCAAACTTTTGACAACTTTCTTATCTATTGTTTGTTCCAAATTAATTAGTACCCTCATCTGATCCATGTTCAGCTGGAAAAAATATTTTGATTGAGAATAAGATGAGGTCAATAACAATAACAGGGAACTCGGTGACCTGTCTAAATTGAAACAATAAAAAATAATGGATATGGAAAAATTACCTTCAACAACTTTGAACTATAATGGATATGGAAAAATTACCTTCAATCAAACTTCTAGAAGTAAATGTAGGCTGTAGAGAATTCATGTTTCTTTTAAATGCAGGCTGATACACTAGAAGAATTGCATGGTAATATAATTAATGATAGGAGTCTAGTGATATGCAAACTCCAATAAGTCAGGGGAATGCATAGTTGTTCAAGGATTTAACTACTTTTGGTGTTTTTAAAGCTGAATATGCCACATTTTACTTCACAGGTATTTTCTTTCTACAATTTCCTGATGTAATCCAGGATTATAATGAGTGCATAAATAGATGCAGAAGCTCTTGATTTCTTGTTTCTGTTCCTTTATGCTTCTGAATATTAGCTACGAGAAGAATGTCAATCTGATTTTTAAAATGTGTTGATTAGATGGTGAACATAGAATGAGATGAAAAGTCTAATGCAAATATCGTTTGAGGTCTGAAAGGGCTGTTGTTCAAAGAGCACAAGCTGATGCACGTGAGTGGGCAGCTATTGATGCAAAGGGAAGGGCAGAATGGGCAGCTGGGGCATGTCAACGATATGAGGTCATTCCTTTGTCTCCAAACAGTGGGTTAATTGAGTGGGTCCCTAATTGTGACACCCTTCACCAACTCATTTGAGAGTACAGGGATACCCTCCACCCTCCACTTCAACGATATGAGGTCATTCCTCTGTAACATTCTAACTCATTTCCTACATTTTTTAATCTTGATTCCATTTTTTTAATATAGGTTATTTACATGTGTTTTATTTTTTAAATGAACAACTGATATGCGGTGGAAAAAGTTACTATGGTGCCGTTCTATGTTGTGCCTGGAGGTAATAAAATTACAAAAGTCATTCTTACATAATCTTTTATCAAGTGAAAAAAAATCTTGATTTAATTTAATTAATCAGTTCGGATGGGAAATACATTTTGTCTGGTGGAGAAGATGTTCTACATTTCCAGTAGGTAAATCCATAGAATAATGATGTTTAATTAAATTACTCAGGTTTGGCTGCATCTCTATCCCTTTTGTGAGCATATTGATGACCCCCAAGTGCTTGTGGGCTGTAGAACTTCCTCTTAAAGCTGTCAACAGTGAACATTTCAATCTGTGTTGTGTTGACTTGAAGAGTGATCTGTTAAGAAAAAAAACTATTTTTAGGAAGCCTTGAAATGCATTCTGGTTTTACAAAAGTAGTTGTTGGTAAGTTTACAAAATTACACCATTTATAATATTTTTCAATTTTGGTTAAATTCTGAATGAAGACTTTGACACAGGTCAACTATAGGACCTGGTGATCCTAGTTACAAACCTTCAAAAAGAAGACAAAGGATTGATGGTGTTTGCATGTGATGCTTTTGATCTTCCCATTCGGAAGGAAATTATCCACCGTGTTGTAAGATGGCAGCTTGCAAAAAGACAACAGGTATTTTTTTCATGAATTTAGAAACTTACTTATTCTAGAATTTTATATCTTCCTCATTTGTCTTAACCAAAAAGGTTAGAATCTCTCGTTTGTGAAAAAGACACGAATGCCCTCATCCTCACTGAATTGTTGTAGAAATACTCTTCAGTTTTATATAATATTGAGTTTCTGTTTATGGGCATTTTTGTAATTTGCTTTTTTTTTTATTTGATTTCAGCTCCCAAAAGTATTGGGACATAACATAGCAGAGAGGGTTTTGTTGGATGCTCCTTGTAGTGGTGTTGGGATAAGCATAAAAGCTTTATATGGTTTTTAGTTTAATAAGAAGATTTTTTTATTTATTTATTTTTAATGATTTTTACAGGTTATATCTAAAGATGAATCTGTCAAAACCTCTAAAGCTGCTATTGATGTACAAAACTTCTCACGTCTACAAAAGGTACCCAAACGCTTTCTATCAATTAATTTAATTAGATCACTTATGTATGGTTTTCAGTTTTACATCACTTATGCAATTATTCTTGTAAAATTTTATTAACTATTTTAAGCAACTTATGTTAAAATTTTAAATATGTTGATTTGCAGGAATTAATACTTGCAACAATTGACATAGTGGATGCAAATTCAAAAACAGGGGGTTATTTGACGACTGAATATTTATTTTCAACATCTTTTATTTGAGTCCTTGTGATATTGCAGAATGAAGATGTTATAGACTATGCACTGAAGAAGAGGGATGTGAAACTTGTGCCATGTGGACTAGATTTTGGACGCCCAAGGTATCTATTTATTATTATTTTTTTAAAAAAAAATTTGATGAATATATTTGTGTCTAAAAGAATTTGTATTATTCTTTTGAAGGTTTGTTCGATTTAGAGAACGTAGATTTCATCGATCTTTGGAAAAGACAAGACGTTTCTACCCTCATGTCCATAACATGGATGGTTTTTTTGTTGCAAAGGTATCACATTACTTTTATTAATTTTTTTTATTATTGCATCATTGAAAGTATGATAAACCCTAATTGGATTATTTGATATTGTAGTCGAAGAAAATGAGTAATTCAAAGGGAGTTTCTGCAGCTTTTGAATACTAGGATATTTGTGTCTAGGATTGAACTGCACATGCACTCTTCTGGTAGAATTTACTAGAATTATATGTACAATATATAACAGTCTCCCATTTGGTAATGAATTGTTGCTTCCAAAACAAAAAAAAAACTATCATAACATGTCAAAATCAATTGCTAAAGCAACCATGTGTAAGTTTTACTTGCAAACACAGTTTATTAGACCACAAGAGTAAGCTTCAAATTGATCATAAAGTTGAGTAATATATAGCAGTCTCCCATTTGACTTTTTTTAGATTCTTTATGATTTGTATTTAGTTTAATCTTCTAGCCAAACCAAATTATCCTTGAAAGGAGTTAGTAATGATCATCATTTTTGGCGCATCTTGTGAAATTGTTCATAGCTGGGCTGTTAATGTTCCTATTTGTTTTCATTTATGCAGGTAACAATCTTGTTGAAAGGACTTATGAATCAGATGTTAATGGTAACAAGTTTAACACTCGAGTCCATACGATTAGATGTGTAACACTGATTTTTCAAACAAAATTTTCGATTTTTATATAAAACATAATTCCATTAATATTCATAAAAACAACCATTTTACTTGTTCAACAAAACAGTACAAAATCCCAAGATCAACATGTCAAACTCCAAACGTGTGTGTACGGATCAAGCCGGCGCCTTCCCCCGGTCGTCACTAGTACCTGAAACAAAAAACATCAACACTGTAAGCACAAGGCTTAGTGAGTTCCCCAAAATACTACATATAACACATATTAGCCACTCGAGGCTATAACTCTGTGGGTCCGTGCACCCAAACTCTGCGAACCCTCAGGTTCTAACTCTGTGAACCTTCCGGTTCTAACTCTGTAAACATGCATAGCATCAAACATATAAAGTAATGCAGTACAACACATAACATACATGGCATACAATTACTCTATCACATAACTCTGGTTACCTACTCAAGGTAAAGTATAGTGAGAAGACTCACCTCGCGTGTCTCGGTAAACCGTAACCCTGAAATCGCTAAACACTCGATCTGCCGAGCTGAAGTCCCCCTATAGCACAATATATCTCTAATTAACACTTTCCCAACTAGGGCTGACCATACCATAACAGGACAATCTGGTCAACGTTGGTCAACGGTCAACTTGACCGGACTCGGCGAGTGCACTATAGCGACTCGGCGAGTCTGAGCGCATTCACCAATTTCCCTGGAATCCTCTCTTGACACGTCGAGCATCCCTTCCCAACTCGACGAGCTCCACCTGGCACGAGTTGTGGGGCCACCACGACTCAACTCGCCGAGTCTCAGGAACAACTCGGCGAGTCCAGTTTGACTTGGTCCACCTATCCATCCTAACTCTCCCTTGACCCACTGAGTTCACCCTTCCCAACTCGGCGAGGCCACTCGCTGAGTGGTCGCGCAACATTCATGCTACTCGCCGAGTCTGTTCTTCGGACTCGGCGAGTCCGTGCCATGCACTGACTCAATCTTGCTCTAAAGGTCAGATCCAGTCCACCAATCCATAGATCCAGTCCCCCCATGCTTATTTAGCACATAAAGTCACAATCTTGTTGCATAAATAACCTCTACATGATCACAAATGATGTTTTTGACTCTATTACTTCAACACAAGGCCAAGGACTCCATTATCACCCATAAAGCTTGATGAGTGAGGCCCTCTGGACCTCTATGGATCCAGATCCATGGTCTCAACTCAAAGAGGGAACAAAAGGGCACCAAATCACCCCATAAATGGTCATATTAAACCCTAACTTGCATCAAGTTTCACCAAACAGGAAATGGTCCGAAAATAATACCTCTAGAGTGATGATCCAAGCTCCAAATCCACGAAATAGCAACCTCCTTTGCTTCCTCTTGCCTAGAGCCTCCTTCTTCTTGCTAAACAACACTCACAAGGTCAAGATTTGCTCTCAATCCTTCACCAAACGCTCAAGAACTCTAGGGACACACTCTGGGGGTTGGATGAGCGCAAATGATGGCCATAAGGCCCCTTAAATAGGCCACAAACCCGGGGATTTAGGGTTTCATTACACAGCGCAGACTCGCCGAGTCCCTACCCTGGACTCGCCGAGTCCAAGCGCGCACCATCGATCAGTTCCGCGTCCCTACTCGGCGAGTCTGAGCCCCAACTTGTCGAGTCCCTCACACAATATAACGAAATTAAAACTTACAAGATACCTGGTAAAATCCGGATGTTACAACTCTCCCCCACTAGAACTGGACTTCGCCCTCGAAGTCCGCTCTAAAACAGCTCCGATGCTGCTCTCGCATCATACCCTCCGGCTCCCAGGTCATCTCTGATCCCTTCCGATGTTGCCACTGAACCAATACCAGAGGTACCTCCTTGTTCCTCAAAAATCTTTGATCTTCCGATCCCTAATAGCCACTGGTCTCTCCGCATAATTCAGGCTCGCATCAACCTGAATATCCTCAAGTGGAACCACTGCCGACTCATCGACTATACATTTCCTCAACTACGATACATGAAAAGTGTTGTGAATCTGCCCCAACTCTGCTGGTAACTCCAGCCGATAGGCTACCCGGCCTACCCTGGCAATCACACGAAACGGGCCTATAAACCGGGGTCCCAATTTGCCCCTCTTCCTGAACCGGATCACTCCTTTCCAAGGAGAGACCTTCAGGAGAACAAAGTCGCCGACCTGAAATTCCAACTCGGACCGACGCCTATCCGCGTAACTCTTCTGCCGGCTCTGAGCGGTCAATAACCTCTGCCTGACCAGCTGTATCTGCTCTGTCGTCTGATTCACGATCTCTATACTGCCCATTACCCTTTGCCCAACCTCTCCCCAACATATGGGAGTACGACACCTCCTACCATATAACAGCTCAAAGGGCGGCATACCGATGCTCGAATGATAGCTGTTATTGTAGGAAAACTCCGCTAGAGGCAAATACGAGTCCCAACTACCCCCAAAATCCAATACACAAGCTCTAAGCATGTCCTCGAGTGTCTGTATCGTCGGTCACTCTGACCGTCGGTCTGGGGGTGGTATGCGGTACTAAAATGCAGCTTAGTACCCAATTCCTCATGAAATTTCTTCCAAAAACGGGAAGTGAAACGCACATCGCGGTCTGAAATAATCGAGATCGGCACCCCATGCCGAGATACAACCTCCCTCACGTAAACCTC